TCAAAATATTATGACTGTTTTATGATATTCTTGTCGAACATTTACAATTCGTGTACTAATTGACTTATTTATTTAATTTTTGATGAATACTTAGAAATAATTTAAACAACACAAAGTTTTATATGTTGCTTGTCGTACCGTACGGTCAGTCATAATATAATTTTTTATTTTTAAATTCTTCTTCTCTCTTCTCTCTTCTCTATGTCCTCTTTCTCTCTCCTCTTTTTATTTTTTCTTCTCCAATTAGCCATCCATATCACTCCCTTCACCAAGCTATCTCCTCTTTTTCTCTCCTCCCTACTCCAAAAAAGGGAATGCATATCCTCCACCAACTCGTCGTCGTACTCCGTGAGCTCCTCGTAATCCGTCGTCGGAAAATACTTGAAGGTTTTTAAGACCAAATTCGGCCATATAAACTCTAGATCTAGAGTTTTCATGGTCGAATTTGACCTTTTTAGCCATATTTGAAGTGAAACTCAAAACCATTGTTAATTTTAAAGGTATTTGTTCGATTTATTTATTTATTTTTTAACGATTTGGTTGTGGGTTCGGTTGGATCTATGTTTGTTTGTGGGTTTGGTGTATCGTGGTGGTGGCATGGCATATTAGGGGTGGGGCTAGTGGCGTCTTGGGGTGGTGGTGGGTCAAGGGTTACTAGGTCGGGGTTACTAGATGGGTAGGTCGGGGGTTACTTAAGGGGTTACTAGATAGGTTACTTAATTGGGGTTACTAGAATGGGTTGCTAGGGATTACTAGGTAAATTATTTAAGTAAGGTTACTTGAGGGGTTACGTAAGTGGGGTTACTAAGTCAGAGGGTTACTAAGTCGGAGGGGTTACTTGGTCCGATCCGGTCAGGGGTTACTAGTTGGGTTATTTAAGGGGTTAGTTACTTGATCCGATCAGGGGTTACTTGTTCCGGTCAGGGGTTACCAGGACCGGTCAGGGATAACTTGGCGCGATCATGGGTTACTAGGTTCGGTCAGGGGTTACTTGGTTGGAGGGGTTACTAAGTTGGTGGGGTTACTTTGTCATTTCTGATTTTGAAACAAAGTATAAATTACTTTTTTTGAAGTTAAGCATAAATTACTTTAAGACTCCTAGTGTAACTCTTACTTTTACTTATCTTAAAATTCTATCCGAATACCAAATAGAAAAGAGGAAAATTGCTCATTAAACATATGTGCGTTCACTAATAGTTAAATCATTCATAATTTTATGGTTCAAATGCACTAAAATTTATAAATTATTGAAAGAAGTATTTTGCTATTTTCCTTGATTAATTCATTTAGCATCCTTGGCTTATATACGAGATATACAAGCGTAATGTCAGGCTAAGGCCCTGTTCCCTTCACCTTACAAAAATAATATTAAGTAAAAATAATTTCAGTTCAGTAAAAATAAGTTCAGCTCATTAAAATTAATTTCAGTTTAGTAAAAATAAGTTCAGTTCAGTAAAATTCAGTTTTCTTAAAGAAGAATTATAACAAAAAATCAGTAAAAATAATTTCAGTTCAGCAAAAATAATTTCATTTCAATAAATTTAATTTAAGTTCAGTAAAAATAATTTAAATTCAGCAAATATAATTTTGTTTCAGTAAAAATAAGGAAAATTGGCTTAAAATAATACCAATTATTGATGGTGTGTGCAAATTAATACAACCTCAACTATTTGCTATCATCAGTACAACCTATTGTACTAAATGTGCAAAATGGTATGCCAGCCTCCAAAGAAGACATTTTAATGAATATTCCGTTCGTATTCAATATTATTATTATTTTGGAAATTTTGTGAAAAATTATACCTATTATAATCTAGAATTTGAGAGAAACTAGCTATTAAAAAAATGTTGTAATTGACTACCTAGTTTTTGAAAATTGTTGTAATTTACTACCTTAGACCGGAATATGAAGTTTGACCATGTATAACTCTCCGACGTTATGAATAGTGTAATTTACTTATGAATAGTAAATTTTACCACCAATCCCTACCTTATACTTTTTAATGAGAAAACTATATAAACATTAATAGTGTTGTGCCAATTTTTTTTTTTTTTTTTAAAAAGTAATCATTATTAATGAGAGTGAATAAATAGTCTATATGGTATAATTATTGTCCAAACACTATTCATTACAAAAACTTATACACATTAATGAGGGTATATATGTAAATACATATTTTGAATGGCATAATTGGCACATCACTATTCATAAGAGTAATATTGCACTTTTTATAAGGTAGGGATTGGTGGTAAAATTTTGTTGATTAATTTGTCCGTTTATCATGACTAGTATCTCTCTTAAAATGTGTGTCATGTCAAAATAGTGTGTTATTGTAAATAAAAATCAAATGTAGGAAATATGTATTTTGAAAAAAAATAATTAATTATTAATAGTATAAAATAATATAACAAATACAGATGAAAAATTCCTCGATATACCTTCTCTGATAGCTGGCATATTATTTTGCACTTATATTACAAAAGGTGGTAACATTGAAAGCAAATAATTGAGATCTTATTATTTTGCACCCACCGCTAATAGTTGGGATTATTTTAAGCCAATTTCTTAAAAATAATTTCAGTTCAGCAACAATAAGGTGAAGAGAACGGGGCCTAAGAATACAAACTGATGACTAGCTATAATTAAGGGATAAATATTAAGCCAATTATACACCTAACAAATATAACAACTATACAAAATTAGAATATATCTCAATATATTCTAACACTCCCTTACAGTCATAGCGGGAGGACATCGAACTCTAAGACTGTCCCAAAAATCTTCAAACAAAACCAATGGTAGTCCCTTAGTAAAAATATTTGCAATCTGATGACGAGATAGTACATGTAAAATACGAACCTGGCCTCGAGCAACCTTTTCACAAACAAAGTGGATATCCATCTTGAAATGTTTAGTGCGTTGATGCTGAACAGGATTACTTGCAAGATAGATAGCACTAACATTTTCACAATATACCAATGTAGCCTTCTTTTATGGGATAATGAAGTTCCAAAAGAAGATTACGTAGCCAACATGACTCAGAAACAACATTAGCAACCCCTCGATATTATCACAATATACAAATGTAGCCTTCTTCATGGGGTTGTTGTTTTTGTTGTTGTTGTTGTGTCATTATTATTATTATTATTAAGTGCAATTGATTTAGGTGAGTGAAAACTTAAATAAACGTGTACCATATTTAACATATGTTAATAGTAGAAAGATAAAAGACAACAGTGGCGCGTTAAGATAACATTTAGATAATATTTATATTAAATTAATTTAAATATAAAAATCCCATTCGATGACAATTTTTCTTACATGGCATTTGAATTATTTAATTTTACAAGAAATCAATAATCTATTATTTTATTGGCTACAATTAAAATTTATTATCCTACGTGGCGCGTTAAGAAAATTAAATCCTATATGGCTTTCTAAAAACTCGGTAAAAACTCCTCTTTAGATTATTATTGATAATTATTATTATTAAATATTATTATGATTAATAAATATTAATTATTATTAATATTAATAATTATTATAATTATTTTTAATACTACTAATTATTATAATTATTTAAAATAATAAATTATTATCATCAATATAATATTAATTATTATTATAATTTAACATTTATTATTATTGTTATTATTAATTATTATTTGAAAACAGAGCAGAGCAGAGCATCTCTAAAGAACGGGGCCTTAGTGTGGTGCATATGTACTCAGCTTTTGTTGATTCGTACTTTAGTGTTTGTGTTTGGCTTTCCTTTGGCTTGCCCTACTATGACGACCCATTTATATGGTCAGTAAAGGGTACGGTTGAAATAAAAGGAAAGAGACATGTACTTGAAGCATGAATAGCATGATGGAAATGAGTGTCGAGAGTTACTTGTTATGCTTTCCTAGTATTATATTTTGAATTATTGATTATGGACTAACTTTGTTATGTTTATTTTAAGTTGGATTTTTAAAAAGGGTCATGCTTAGATTAGTTCCAACTTGTGGTTTATTTATTTCTATTTTGTTTTGAGGTTGGGAAGTCAGATCAAGATTATTTTTAGAAGTTGATTAAACTTCCGCTATGTGACTTTGAAAAATAGCGTTAGCTGTTATCACGGTGGCGGTAATATTTTGGATATTTCCTTAAAAGAGTTTTATTTAGAGTAAAAAGTATATTTTAAAAGAAGGGGATTTCCAAGTATTACACTTGACGCGTGTCTTTTTTTAAAAAAATTATCCCATTCAAACGGTCATAATTTTTCCTTTATTTTATATGGTTGGATCGAATTGGTTTAGGATTTTCTATTTTTTCAGTTATAATGCTTAAAATAGTAACTAACAAGAATTTAACAATCCCTAAAAAAAATTATTTAACAATCCCTAAAAAAAAAAAGTATTTAACAAAATTGGTTATGGCAATATTCACATCGATCTTTTAATTTACATTTGACCCTCATTCTATTGACATAAAATCTCTTTGAAAATTTTATTAAAAAATGGAATAAATTATCATTTCAACGAGAGACAAAGAAAATGAACTTAGAGCACTATCAGTAGAGGAAAAAAACAAAATTCCTTTCACTCTCTCTCTAACTTTCCCTCTCCTCCACATTAGATTTTTAAAGAAATAATTTTTTTTCATCTCACCAACAACAAACCAAAAAATTCCCTCGCCACTCTCTTTCTTACTTTTCCCTCTACCACACTATATTCTCTCTCTTATTTTCAATTTTTATAATAATTACTATGCATAATACTTCCTACCCATATACTTGACGATAATTAAATTGTAATTAATTAAAATTATGACTTTAATTAATTACGAACTAATTAGATAATAATAATTATTGGAAGACATAATAAGTAATAAAAAGTGAAATATGATTACGAAACATGATGATTAAAGCGTCATTAGATTTTAAGAATTATTGTCACCAAACTTTTCCCAAATGTGCTCTATAAAGTTATCTTTCAAGGATTGATGAGTTTGTCTATTACGTACGCATAGCGTCCCTTTTCTCTGAATACTTATTAATGTCAATAGGATGTCCTGTTTGAATCTGAAATGTCTCATCATTATTTGGAGTACCACTTGTACTAGCTTCACCTCCTAGATGTGACATTGGGCGATCTGTTTCGTAATATCTTCTTGTTACTTCAGCATTTTTATAAGTATCTCGTTCATCCTCTACTATCATGTTATGAATTATTATACAAGCCTTCATAATGTCAGCTAGCACATCTTCATCGTAAGCAAGAGCTGGTTGTCGTACAATTGCAAATTTCGCTTGTAGGACACCAAATGCACATTCAACATCTTTACGTGCATCAGCTTGTTGTTCAGCAAAAAGCATATGCTTATGAGTTTGAGGATTGGTAAATCCTTGCACAAAAGTAGCCCTACTCGGATAAATACCATCAGCTAGGTAGTAAGCCATATTGTATTCATGGCCATTGACATTAAACTTCACCAAAGGTGCTCGACCTTGCAACACATCAGTAAAAACTAGTGAATAGTAAAGTACATTAAGGTCATTACAAGAACCTGGAATACCGAAAAAAGAATGCCATATCTATAGATCTTCATCTGCAGCTGCTTCTAAAATGAGGGTTACGTTCTTATTTCGTTCGCAATATTGACCTTTCCATGCATTTGGACAAATCTTCTACTTCCAATGCATACAATCAATACTTCCAATCATCCCTGGAAAACCTCGTTGGTCATTTCTATACAGGATCTTTCGTAGGTCTTCGTCCGTCGGGCTTCGTAAATATTCAGCTTCAAAATTCCTTGATTACCCCTTTACATAAATTTTTTAGACATTTCCGTGTAGTTGTTTGACCCATAAGTAGATACTCGTCAACAGCGTCAGGAGCCACTCCATACGCTAACATTCTCATCGATGCTGTGCATTTTTGGATTCCAGGCAACCCCAACTTCTCAGATGGATTTCGCCTTTGCTGAAAAAACTCATCATTTCCACAAATATAATCTTATTCAAAATCTTACAAAACAGAGGTCGTTTCATCCGAAACCTCCGGTAAAAATGACTTTCATTATATACAGAAGGATCGCAAAGTAGTCGTTGAACAATTGGTTGTGCCCTTGTTCATTATTTCTATCCATTTGAACTCAAACATGAGCATCTGTATTATTATGTTGATTTCGAGGTGGAGGTGTTTGGTACAATTTAGATGGTAAGTGATTATTGACAAGGTCGCCAATAACTTGGTGAAATTCTTCATTACTATCAGATGAAGAACTTGAGCTTGAAGAGATTTTTTGAAACAACATTTGTGTTAATTTTAGTAAATTTATGTGGATGATGTTTTCAATGTGTTCTTTGAACTCCATATACAAAGTAGCTAGTAGCATCGTCTCTATTTCTTTTACCACTATCGCTGCTCTCTTAAAGTTCTTTTTTCGCTTTGTGTTCAGCATCAACTTTCTTTCTTTCTTTCTTATTCAGACCCCACCTCATGAACTTTCTCCACTTTGGATATTCGTTCACCTTTCCCCACGCATATTGAAATTTAAAATTCCTTGGTGAATTTTGACAAGACCTTCAAAACAATTCATGGGCATTTTTTACAACATCACTATCATTGTACCCACTTTCCGGTTATTTTACCAGCTTCTTCCATAACACTTGCCCATATGAGTAGGTCAGCAGCAATCCTCCTCCAATGAGTCTCCAACATGTTCTTGTTCCACTCTGGAATTTCATGTGGTCGAGATAGATAAGCCGCATGATATTCTCGATGTATATCTCTCCAAAGGTCAGCAAATTTTCTATCTTTGCCAATAATTGTTGATTAGGAGATTTTGCTCCTACCAATCGGAATGCGCCACGTGGGCCAATCAGGACCTGCCAAGTGTCCCCTAGTTGGAACTGTCAGGGCTTACCACGTGGCACGCGCTTATTCGTCCACCTTGGACCTGTTATGTCACGACATGTGGCATACTCCATGCCTAATGGAGAAACCGGCCACCCAGGCCCAACTTCCGAGGGAAGCCCAATCGGCCCTAGGTTTACCTAAACCTAGGATGGGCACGTTTCCCAAGGTTATAAATACCTCCCTTAATCCTCATTAAGGGGAGGGTCAGGACAGAAACATTACGGAACACACTAATAACCGGCTGATCTCGCTAACTAAGCAGATTACCTACCTTAAACACTCTCACCTAGAGAGACCTTATTACTTTAATTTTCGCATTAATTACTCCTTAATCAGGTACTAACTTGACCGTTGGAGGCGGAGCTCACAGGAGTCTCCGTTATTTTGCAGGTACAGGCGTCCGGTTCCAGTCTCGGAATTGTAACTCTCCCGCAGGACATCAGAAAACCCCGAAACATTTGGCGCCGTCTGTGGGGAGAGTACTTCAGAGATGGCATCCAAGTCTGTACCGACTTCTGAAGAGAGGCGTCCCCTAAACGACCCTCAAGTTCAGTCGGACCATGACACCGAAAGTGAATTTGAAGTTGAAACTCATACAGCTCCAGACGGGACCCTAAGGGCCCGACGTACCCGTCATACTGAAAGGAGGGAACGGGAGCATCTTTAAACAGGAAGCGAGCCAGCAGGCGCACCGCCTGTTCGGCAACAGCCGACTGATGGGTCTGCTCCCATCACAAGGAACGAACTCATGACCTTCATAAGGAACTTCAAGGGAGAGATTCAAGAGCTGATCAACAAGAAGCCGCCTGCTTCAGTCAAGGAGCAGTCGGCCAAGAAACCCTCCACTTCACTGAAGAGGAAGCCAGTTCAAGGGCGAGAGGCGACTCCTCATCCTAAATCTAGGAAGCGGGAGCCACCTGCCCTTGATTTCACAAAATTCCGTTATCCTACAGGAAATAGGAAACCGGTTCGTCATATTCAGGCGGACGGGTCAAAGCAAACATTCACAGATGCTCGGCTACTGCTAGAGCAGAAGAAGAGTGACCGATTGTCAGAGTCGGCTTCTACTTCAAACTTTCAAGACAGTTTGCGAAATGCCTCGATGAGGCATACTCAGTCGTACCATGAGAGTCAGTCAGGCGGCACCTCCCGTCAGTCCGGCTTTCATAGTGCCCAGGCGGTACCAAACTTACCATTTGTGCCGCAACAACAGTATTTTATGCAGCCACCTCCATTTGGTGGACCTACAGCAAAAAACGTCCAACCTATGGACTGGCAGCTACGGTTGCTTAGACTTGGTGAACAGCCGTCGGCCTTCTCCAAGGAAATTACTGACGCCGCTCAGCCGGCCAAAGTAAAAAATGTACTAGTAGGCGCCTATGACGGCACTACTAACCCAGAAGACCATCTGATGGCATTCACCAACCTGATGTACCTTCAAGGGTTGGATGATCCCACTTGGTGCAAGTGTTTCCCAGCGACTCTCAAAGGAATCGCACAGCAATGGTTCGGCAACCTGCCGACTGGTTGTGTAAATAGCTTCAGGACGCTTGCTTACTTATTTGCCTCCAACTTCGCCATGAACATCCCTGCGAAGAAAACGACCCTTGATTTGGGAACAATTCAGCAGGGCGAGAAGGAGGGGCTTCGTTCTTACATCAGGCGGTTCAACCTGATGAGAATACAGATTCAAGGGTTACCGGATGAGGTAGCTTATACCGACTTTTTTAGAGGTCTCAAAGACGGGTCTACCTTCAAATTTGATTTGGTTCGAAAAAGGGTGGTGACTCTTCAGGAGGCCTTGATTGAAGCAGAAGCCTATATACAGGCGACTGATCTTTGTACGATAAAACAGTCGGACGGGAAAAGGTTCGACAAAAGAGAAGGACGACAGAAACAGTCGTCAAACAAAGATGAGAAAAGAAAAGAGGTCTGGGCGGCTGATTCCTCTAAACAGCCGGCCCAGAAAAAGAAAAAAGAATTCAAACCATACTCCCCAAAGTATGCGTTTAACAAGGATAACCAGTTTATCCTAAAAGAAATCAAGGGACGGATCTCAATTGAGAAGCCGGTCCCCATGAAGGGTTCTGCAAACAACCGGAACCAAGATAAAATCTGTGCTTATCATGATGACGTTGGTCATCACACCAATGACTGCATCAGTCTTATGCGGTACCTAGACCGCCTGGCTGAGCAAGGTGATCTTGACACTTATGTCAAGAAAACTACGGGGAACACTTCCTCAAAAAAGCTGTCGGCCAAAAAGAATCAACAGGCCGACAGCTCCGATACAGATGATGCAGTCGTCTACACCATTGCAGGCGGCTTCTCAGGAGGCGGCCCCACTATTAGGGGCAACAAAGATAATATAAGGCGGTTGGATGTAAATTCCGTTCACCAAGAACGGCCGTCCAAATATACATTTCCTGAGATTGTCATCACTGAAGAGGATATAGGAGGGGTAAGGGGGCCGCATGACGACCCTCTAGTTATTGAATGTAAAGTGGCCAACCAGAGGGTTGGCCGAATCCTTATAGATACCGGGAGCTCCTCAGATCTCATCAGCAGCAAATGTCTGTCGAAACTGAAATATCAGACTGACTGCATACATCCGGCCTCCCACCCTTTAATAGGGTTTGGAGGAGGAGTCGTCCACCCACTGGGACGAGTAGATTTACCCATTCGCCTGGGCGAAAAAGGGGAAGGACGACACATGGTAGTCCGGTTCCTAGTAGTAGAGGAACTCTCGGCCTACAACATGATTCTGGGTCGACCAACCCTGAATAATTCCAAGGCTGTTATAATCCCGTCTCTTATGTTGCTCAAGTTTGAGAGGGATAATGGAACAGTCGGCTCCCTAAGGGGAGATCAGAGGATGGCCCGAGAGTGCTATCTCTCGGATGTCAAGCCCACTGTTATGGCCACTGGGTCAAGTGGTAAAAAAACAGACCTTGACAATGTCAAGGAGAGTGCGCCTGTTCAAGAAGCAGGCGGCAATAAGAGAAAGGCGTCCCTGACAGAGTCCGCAAGAAAAGCAAGAAAATAGCAATCATTGGCAGAGGAGCGGCCGGATGAGTTCCGCCCTCAGCCGGCTGGTGAGCATGCGGACCTGATCTTAGACGACTCACGTCCTGACCGAACAGTCAAAGTTGGGACGACTGCTCTGAGAAACCTTGGTGACGACTTTCACAACCTATTGAAAGAATACAAGGACATCTTTGCATTTGAAGTCCATGAAATGCCAGGCATTAGTCCTGATCTGGCGGTACATAAACTCGCCGTGGATCCGAAAAAGAAGCCGGTACGGCAAAAGAAGCGGAACCATGGCGAAGAAAGAAGTCAGGCGGCAGCCGCTGAAGTTAAAAAATTACTTGATGCAGGGTTCATTCGGCAATGTTACTTCCCAGACTGGGTTGCAAATGTGGTGCTTGTTAAAAAGCCGAATGGCACCTGGCGAATGTGTGTAGACTACACAGACTTAAACAAGGCGTGCCCCAAAGACAGTTACCCTCTGCCTAAAATTGATAACCTGGTCGACTCAACAGCCGGCCATGCCTTGATGAGTTTCATGGACGCCTATTCTGGTTTCCATCAAATTCCCTTATGGAAGAAAGATCAGGAGAAGACGGCCTTCGTCACTGATCAGGGGTTATACTGTTACACGGTCATGCCGTTTGGTCTTAAGAATGCCCCGGCTACCTTCCAACGAATGATAAACACTGTGTTCTTTGATCAGATTGGGAGAAACGTCGAGGCATATATTGATGATATGATTGTCAAGACTAAACTTCAGAAAGATCATCTGTCGGACCTCCGAGAAACTTTCGCCACACTCAGGCGGCACCATGTCATGCTCAATCCCAAGAAATGTGTATTTGGAGTTGAGTCTGGGAAATTTCTCGGATTCCTTATCAATCAGAGAGGAATAGAAGCGAACCCTGAGAAGGTGCAGGCGGTCATTGACATGCAGTCGCCTCGTACCATCCGAGAGGTTCAGAAGTTAACAGGTTGTCTGGCGGCCTTGGGAAGATTTCTAAGCCGATCAGGCAACAAATGCCTATACTTTTTCCAGGCAATTAAGAAAAAGGCAAGGTTTGAATGGGGGCCGGATGCTGAGGCCGCCTTCCAGAAATTAAAAGTTCACTTGCATTCCTTGCCGAGGCTGGTCAGCCTTTTGCCCAAATAGGTTCTCTACATGTACCTGGCCGTCTCTGATCATGCGTTAAGCGCTGTTCTCCTTGCTGAAAGGGACGGCTGTCAGCTCCCAGTCTACTTTGTCAGTCACGTACTGAAAAATGCCGAGTTGAGGTATCCCCTAGTGGAGAAATTTGGTCTTGCACTCTTCATGGCTGTTAAAAAATTGAAGCCCTACTTTTTGGCACATACAGTCGTCGTGTATACAGACCAACCTATCAAGCGGCCGCTGACCATCATGGAGTCGTCAGGCCGAATGATCAAATGGGCCATAGAAATCCAGAGCCTCGAAGTTACCTTCGAGCCTAGAAAAGCAGTGAAGGGGCAAGCCTTTGCTGACTTTATTGTAGAGATGACTCGTCCTCCTGACTCTCAAGTTCCAGACCAAGTATGGAAGGTATATGTGGACGGAAGCTCTACTTCAAATGGTTGTGGAGCAGGCGTCATATGTCAGTCGCCAGAGGGCGACAGGTTCGAGTATGCTCTACGCTTCAGTTTTCAGGCTTCAAACAATGAGGCAGAATATGAAGCTTTACTAGCCGGGATCCGCATGTCCAAGGCGGCAGGGGCAAGAAAAATAGACGCCTGTTCCGATTCACAATTGATAG